AAAAATGACACAAATTTTTTGAAACACCCTGTATATAAATAGAGCAAAATTCCTTTTTCTATGCTTTGACGTAATTCATTCATATTCCTTTATTACAAACACTCTATTCCAGCATCTCCAGTAACTTAAGAAAAAATGAATTGAACGAATGAAATCAACGATTGCATAAAACTAGCAATAAAAATTAATATAATGGATACACTTTTACAGTGGAGTACAATGGATACTTTTTTCAGTACAAAAAAATAGAAACAAAATATTAAATGAGTAGCTAGATTAAATATAAATTTAAATAATTATTAGTCACTTTCTTATTTAACAGTAACTTTAATTAATCCATGTAAATTACACTCCAGATTTTCATTTTCCAGCCTTTCGTATTACTTCCCCCTTCTAAAGGTAAACCTATTGTCACTTGGAATAATTTGAAACGTACAGAATTACATCTCGTTATTTTATAAAATTAACGAGATTAGATTAAAGGTGTCTTGACAGGTAAAATGAAAGGATCTCTTCGCACTGCCTTGTTTTTGTTTTCTTTGTTTTTTGTAATGATATCGCCGGGTTTTCTGTTCCTGTCCTTTTTGTTCTTCTAAAAAGGCTCAACCTTCATTTTCCCTGTAATAGTTCATTTACGTTGGAAAATTTTTTGTTTTCATCCAACTGTAGTATTTGTTTCGTAGGATACTGCAGGAAGGAACTAATAGAAAAAAAAACATATATAAAGGAAATATAACGTTAAAAGGATGTCGGAAATTGGAGAACTTAATGGAGACACTGGAAAAAAGTTAAGTGGTCGTATTTAACGATGAGGGTTAATAATATTTTAAGTTAAGATCGATGTTAAACAGTGCCGCGCGAAATCAGTTCCTTGAAAAGTGAAATGGAAGGGAATCACCCCCAAGCAGCATTTGGACGTCGGGACAACGTTGTGTCACGCGACCAAACGTCGGGGCGCAACGTCGGCACAACCTCGTGCCAACCCTAGTCTGCACTAGTTTGGAGAATAATTTTTGGGTCGAAACGACGTTGGATACCGACGTTGGCTAACAGCCTAATTTAGTACAAACTGCAACGTCGTTTAAAATCCTAATTCACAGAAATACAAAACTATAATAATATGGCCTCTAAGTCGCGTTTTATCCTAAATTGGGATAATTATAGTAAAAATATTATTTTTATGATTTAGTTAGAGACATATGCCAGATGGCAGTAAAGGAAAACAAAACAAAAGTATTTAAGTGTGGAGGATGTCTGAAGATCATAATTATTGAAACACTTTAACCGACTCTGTAACTCGTTACCCAAGGCAAAAAAGTTAAACGCAAACAACTTTATTGATAAATGTATTGTTTCTACTTTGAAAAATACTAATGGGCCTTAAAATTAAAGAAGTTTTAAAAAATGTCTTTTTTTTTAGTAAAGTGAGAATAATTTACTCGCAGTCGAAAAAATTGTTTCGGCGTGTTGTTTAGGGTCAAATTTTTCAAGCTAATGTATTCAAAAAGCAGGAATTGCAATTTTAGGAACCGAAACATTTTCTTATTCAACAACATGCCGGCTTTCACTTTGTTGTTTTGGAGATTAAGATGGAGCAGTTCGAGTAGTCGCATACTGGACTAATAAAGTCGCAGTTTAGCCTTAACAGGTAGTATACTAGTCGCAAGATTGCCTAATTTAGTCATCCTAGAGTCTAGCTTGTGCCGCCCTCTATATTCTAAATAAACGAGGGAGTGGATAAAGTATCGGTAATATGTCGATGTATATTTAAATTTAGTTTTATATGTACCTTTCTTATGTCCCATTTTAATTAAGTTTTTTTTTATAAAAACAAAAACAGCACTGAACTGTCTGACTAAACAGAACAATGAAGTGAAAATTTAAGATTTAAGGTTATGGTTCAATACAGTTGCAAAAAGGTAGTGGCTCGAAGTCCTACCAACGTAAGAATAAGGACATCTAAACAACGTTGGAATTAGTAAAACAGACGACGTTTGCCTAACGTTGGAATAGGTCCTGAAAGTGACGTCGGAAAACTCTTTATTGCCCAACATTGTAACTACGTTGTCCGAATCACCTAAAGATCACTTAAGCAAAAAAGGTTACAAGACAACGTTTATTCGACGTCGCAGAAGCTTTTACTTTGTTGTAGTACTAGTTCAACGTCGGCACAACGTTACAACAACCTTTACATTTATTTTAATATCCAAGGTACGGAGCTAACTATTTTTTGTAACTACAACGTTGTGTTTAGTAAACATGTGGTCGCAAGTCGTGAAAATGCTACTTGGGCCTTGAACTACATTCTGTTTGTTTTCCTTTTTTATAAAGTTGCCATCAGGTTTCCTACCACTTTGTCTGTGTTTTTTTGTCCTTCTAAAAAGACCGAACCTTTGTTTCTCGTGTAATAGTTTATTTTTCGAAAATTTTTGTTTTTGTGTTCTATGCGATTGTTGTCTTAGTGAAATACTTTACGCGGAAGCCAAGAAAAAAAAATAAGAACAATGTGGGAGGAAAATGCCAACAGAAAGCGCTCGGAAATTGGAGAACTTAATAGAGACTCTGGGAAAAGTCCGATGGGAGAATTATTAATAAAAGGGTGTCAATAAATCACGCCAAAAAAGTTTTGTTGTATTCAGATTGTTGTCTGCCGTTTTAATTAGGAGGTAAATTGTATCTTCTGTCATTTTCTGATGTCGTCTATCGAAATTTTCCCTAAAAAAATAGTTTATTTACCTTCGAAAATGTTTGTTTTTGTGTTCTACCCAATGGTTGTCTTGGTGAAATACTTTACGCGGAAGCTAACAATAATTTGTTGGTTTTGGGGAAATACTCTCAACAAGAACAGCCAGAGGCTGAGATGGGGACCATAACTGTAGTTGTTAAAACAACGGCAAGAACTCCTCCCACACACAAGGTGAACACCTCCTCCTACTATGGATATTAGTAGTGGATGAACTAGTAGACGAATTATAACTCTAGCGGGAATACACTCCATAGGGTATACAGATGACATAGTCCAACGTTGGCTCCGTATAACCGGTGCAGAACTGCCAGGTAGTGCCATTTACCAAAAAGCAAAATCTGAAAAACTTGAAAAGAATCTATCTAGATGGAAAGGAAATACTAGCACCATCACAGGAAGGCAAATATTTGGGAATAACCCAGGACAGTAAACTTTTCTGGAACAGGCATACTAAGAACCAGCAAAGCCACAAAGGCTCTTATGATACGCAGATGACTGGCGGGAAATAGATGGAGCTGCGCCCCTAACATTTTGCGCTGGATGTATACCATGATAGTAAGACCTCAACGGCCTAAGACACTCGAAAAAGTTTTTGAGAATTTACGACCCAGAAAAATCAAGGATTTTCCTTGATTTAAGTATGAACAATCTTCGGATTGTCACAGTATGAACAATCATCGGATTGTTGGAGTTTTTAACAGGAAAATGTCCTCTCAACGGACACCTCAATAGATTGAAGCTTAGAAACAACGGCGAATGCAGATTCTGTGAGGAAAATGAGGAAACACCTAAACACCTCATTACTGAATGCGGCGAGACGACAACCGTTGGTACCATAAACTTTGGTACTGCTGATGTTAGAGATGGAGACTTGACCTCTGTGAAGCCGTCTCAGACACTGGCTAATTAACTAAATAAGGCTTCACAGACAGCACATTATCGGCAAATGCGACCTGATGCAAGATCCACAATTTTTCCACACTTTTCCACAACTTTGGCCGTTTCTTACCAACTCGCTCTCGTAGTGTAACTCTTTCATCATCGTCATAGCTCTTTCAAATATAATGTTTAGTTTACAGTTTGACCTTCTGGAACCCATTGGATCATCACGATACCGTTGATGTCTAAGAAAACGTTAGCATGGCTTTAAATTATGATTTCGGTAGGAGAAAAATCCACTTTCGTTTCTAACTTCTGGAAAAATACCTACTACTACAGCGACGAAAACGTGTTTAAGTACTGTAATAATACAACACTTCCAACACAACTTTAACCTAACCTAATTAACGTACCTCCTTTAGGACGTTTTCTACGCACACAGTCTCGTTATTTTTTTTATTATACAGAGGTTTAGGAAATCTGCTCCCCGCTTGTTGGTCTAGCGGCGGGATTGTGTCGCGTGTGCTTGTAGCGACCGACTAAAAACCTTTCCTCTGTTTTCCCTCCCAAGTGCGGTTGGAACTGCTCTAAGCATTACTTCAACCTCACAAAATATACTTTATTGACAATATCTGTACTTTTCATATATTCTATCTTTTTCTTCATTATATTTGTCATTAGTCTGCTGACACTTTCCCACTCGTTCTCGTCTCTTAGAGGGATTCTGCTACATTGTCTTTCGTAATTTTATGCCAAATTTCATTGTACGTTTGTATCCTGTAAGCTTCAAACTTTGGACATACAAACAAAATGTGTTCTGGGGTATCCACCTCTTCTGCACCAAACCAACAACATGCATCCTGCGGTATTTTTATTCTTTGCAGGTCAAATACCCTATGACCAGTCACAGCCTGTGTTGTATAAATATTCATATCACTCCATTTTCTTTCGTGCCATTTTCTAATGTCTTTGATAAAAGTCTTAGCGCCCTCCTTTGGTATTCATTCCATCTTGTTTGTCACTGCGCGTAAGTCATCTGCTTAGCTTCCGCAGTATAATCTTTTTCCCTTTGATAAATGAGGTCCCGTTCTTTCACCAACAGTTTTATTGGAGCCATTCCTGCAAGAGCTGTAACTGCTTCTCTTGAAACGGTTCTGTAGGCCGATATGATGCTTATTTTCATTCTACGGTTAGGCCGTTCTAATAAATCCCGATGGGATTTAAACATCAATCCCGATTTTCAAGCTGGTTTGGAAATATATAAACTAACCCGACTTTATTTTATTTATTTAGAACAGTTGCTTAATTTATGTTTATAATATATAGTTTATTATGTTCAAAACATAAAAGAAATTAAATTTTGTCTTTATTTCAGGCAAGTTCAAAGTAGACGACGTTGCGCAGGAACAAGGCGAAGACTGCTATTTAACCACCCTTCACGTCAGAGATACGTCAGCGACAGACTCGCGGACGTATTATCTACTTGTGGAGAACGACAAAGGAAAAGACACACACGCGGTACAATTGCTCGTTAACGGTGAGTGGAAATTAATTAAACATAATATGTTTTCATTATTAAAGTTAATTAGCTGACCAGTCAAACGTCCTGACCACATTTCTGTAATTTTCTTTATACATGGTGTCCCAATATTCCGACATAGAACTACTACGTATTTTTGGAATCAAAATAAGTTCATCGGACACAATTTATCTTTTTACAGGGCATCAAACTTTAAAAATAAACACATTTTTAGGATATTTTAAGAACCGTTATTCCGATTTGAATGAGATTTGGGGCGCCTACCCAAGTAACATGTTTGGAGATTTTTGGTTGCGATGTTTCTAATAATTGTGTCTGTTTCTTGACACAAAATGGAAACAGCCACAAATAGGAAACATTTTCGAAACCTATATATTTTATATGGTTTTATTACATGCGTTTCCAATATGGTGGCACTAGCCGTTTCCTGAAATGTTTCCATACAGAATCAAAACTTTTAGAGCAAGTGTTTCGAAACATTTTCTAAAAAAGAAATAAAATACCAAACTAAAATAGTCTATATCTTTGTGTGGATTTCAAAATGAAAATAACCATCAACAACGTCAACCTCCGCCATAATGTTATTGTCTTAGAATCTTTGTTTTTAGGATTTATCGCACAAAAACGTCTGGCAAAAACAAAATTCATCGCCTGAACGCGTTCCTATGAGTTTAAAAGCTCAACAGCCGATAAAAATATATATTTTTAGTTAAAAATTCTATCACTAGCCAACATGGCGGAATTTTAATTCATTATTTTATAAAATTGACATGGAGTCGGACACAAATCATCTATATCATATTTGTGTCTAAAAAGAGAGAAAATCGTGTTTCGAAAATGAATGGACGATAAATGAAAACTTTGTTTCCAAAATGTTTCGATTTAGCGCTATCTATTTAGAAATTTCAAACTACTCACCTGTCAAGGATGCCAATAAATACTTCTGGTCAAAATAATTAAAAAGTTTTTATTTACTTTTTATAACACAATTAAAACATAAAAAAATGTATTCCATTGTGGAAAAAAGAGAAAAAATGCGTATAATAAATAATTATAAAATCGCATAGTACTATAAGAACTTGAAGAATGCAAAATCCAAACAATAATGTAAGGTTATGTTCTCATATTTATATATCAACAGAATATCAAATAAATTATGGAAACTTTTCAGGCACTAAACGGGTACGTAATCTGTAAATGTGAGCCACATCTGTTTCTTAAAAGTTTCGAAAAATTTGTGACACTAAGATCTTTATTGTTATAGCTTATGTAGCGAAACCAAATTTTGGTAAAATGTTTCGAAACAAAAAGCGATTTATGTTACGAAACATATCTATCAAAAATGCGATGACACTGTTTCGCAATGTTTCTCAGCAGAGATTTTGTTTCTAAAAATGCTACTTGGGATATGTTTTGCTAAGTGCTTTAACATTTGACGTCTTTGAAGTTTTAATTTGGCTTTCGAAAAAAGATTTAAAATTAAAGACGTAAGTCATTAAAATGATTTAAATAAAAAAAAGACTTGAACATAGATGACTATGAACACAGATGACTAGCAATCTCTACTGCACGCGACAGCGTTATTTAGAACCTTCATAAAATTAAAGGAACCTGCCTATATTATTTCTCAAGATTTTCCTATAATGTTCTTCAATAAAATTCCAAATGGCGCCTTACCTATCATATACATATCGATAATCTAATAGATCAACTCGTCCCTATATATTTCGACCAATCAGCGTAATAGAATCTCGTGCATTTGCATCAGGAAGCTGTGGGGGAAATGAAACACCGGGATGGATGCAGCAGGGCGAAATAGAAACTCATAGCCAAGGGCTGTGAGTATAGATGGGGAGGGGGTAGAAGGGGGGTGTTATGACGTTTCGAAATTAAAATACGGCCCTGGCTGATGCAGATTGAAAATTTTCCGTCTGGCTAGACCGGACCCGAAACGTTTTAATTTTAATTTTCAGCCTACGATGGAGGAGGGTAAGGGGAATCATCATATTGGTTGGTGCTTGGACGTCGATATAAAATCCAGACTAGCTGATTTATTGTCCGGGGTTTTCCCTCATGGACAATGATTTAAAACCAATCACTTTTTATTTAAAGACTGGTCAAATTTTTTAATTTCATTTTAATTAAAATTAAAAGCAATGTCAGCCCAAGACAGAAAATCCATTAAAACTGATGATGCTTTGATAAAAAAACTTTTATTAAGAAATGAATTATCCACAAAAGTATATAGATATTATTTAATGTTATTGACGTTTCGATATTATTGTTAATAATAATAACTAATAATATTTTTCTTTTCACAGAACCTCTTCAAATGAGCACGCTAGTTAGTGTAGCGGGAGCTCTCTTAGTAGGATTCTTAATTATGGTTTGCGCATGCATATACGCCATCAGGGCAGAAAAGTGCTGTTTCTCGAGTAAGTATTTTTTAATTAATAATTTATAGGTATTTTATAATAGTACGAGAGCTAGCAACGTCTGGAAAACAAGTATTTTAAGAAAGCTGGTTTTTTATATATCTTTTACTATGCTCTCTGGAACAGCGGGCAGGCCGTCTGGCTGCTGATAGACGTTACGTTCACTACTACGCATTGAAAGAAGTTCTTATATTTTTAGTTAGTCCTTTAAATTGTAGTATTGAATATAAATCGAACAAGTCTCCTTAGAGCGAACGCGAGCGGCGCGAAAACACTCCGCCTATAAAGCGAGAAGTCCCGAGTTCAATACCGGCTCGGGGTAAACCTTTGTTTATTTTTTTTTATATTCTGATAGGAAAGTATTAAATAATTATGGTGATTAAAAAAACAATTATTTAATACTTTACTATCAGAATATAAACGAAAATAAAATAAACAAAAGTTTACCCGAACTGCTATTGAACTCGCTTTATAGGTGGAACGTTTTCGCGCCCCGCTATGGAGACTTGTTCGATTTATATTCAATACTAGAATTTAACAGACTAAATAAAAAAAATCGGATCTTCTTTCAATGCGCAGTAGTGAACGTAACGTCTATCGGTAGCCAGACGACTCGCACGCTGTTCCAGAGAGCATAGCAAAAGATATATTAAAGGGCCAGCTTTCTTAAAATACTCTTTCGAAAACGTTGCCAGCTCTTGGACTATAAGCGATATTGCTCTATGATTAAAAAATAATCGTATTTGGTTTTCTTCATAATTTACTTAAAATGTAATAATCCCTTTTGTAGACTTCTTGGTGTAGAAACTGTCCAATATTTAATAAATACATCTACAGAAAAAAATCAACAAAAAATAAAAATTGATTAATACGTTTCTAACAAAATCGGTATCGGTTGACCGGTTACCCGATCAGAAACAAAATCCGGTTACCATTAACAACGGTTTCGACAAATCGGAAATTCTGTTTTAAAGTATAAATATATTATTTTATCTGTAAAATAATATCTGAACTAATGTCGATATATGGATTGCGAAGCTTTTTATTTTTTGGGAAATTTTTATTTTTTGAATTTAATCATAAATTTTTCTTCAAAAAAATCACGATTAAACAATTTATTCACAACTCGTCTATAATTTGATTATTATACATGGGTTTATGAAATAATAATAATATTCATTATTCACTAGTGAATCATGGTTTCATTATTCACCGCGTCCACGGATATCTCGATCCAAACTCCAAACAAGAACTGTGCTCGATCCAAACCGGCTTGGAATGCGATTGTACGCACAAATATTTTTTGTTTTAATTAGTTAAACCTGAATTAGTTAGCTACCTAGTTAAATAAAATTTCAATGTTTTGTTGCCATGTTACTTATTCGTTATACTCGTTCAATATTTTTTTGACATTAACAATAAAAACGTATATTAATATTATCTAAATTTTTTTATAGTCCTGGATAAAGTAAAGTATTCTACTCGCATATAATTATTATTATTTATTCGTGTCAGAAGCATCATCAAGATTACATTTCATATACATATAATATCACATACAACAACAATAACAACAATAATTACGTGTAATAATAATAATAATAATAAGTAAAATTGCAAACACAAAAGTTATACATGAAACCACAGTACATTAAAACATAGATATAAAACAAACATAGCATGTATAAACATCATTCGAAACTAAACATGTTTTGCCCAGAAGCGGGCGACGTCAATTGCGTTCGACTTTGCTGCCATAAGGTCCTCTATAGTGCACTTGGCGGGGCACAGTGGGCAAGTATACATATGTTGGGTGGTTTGTAGTGCTCCACATTCGCAGAGGTTGGAGTCCACATGGTAGCCCCACTTGGCAAGAGTGTCTCTCGATCTCGCTGTGCCCGTACGTAGTCTGTTAAGAGCTCTCCAAGTTTCCCAGAAGCATCAAAAGCGAAAAAGCGGAATACGATTAGTTTTCCCCTCATTTTGCATTGAAAAATGTACTACTCACCACAAAGGACCTTCTCGCATATAATGGCTGATATTCACTTGGATGATTTATGACCTAACCTAACCTAACTAACCATAAACTTCATCCGCGTGAATAATAGCCACCATTATATGCTCGTTGAATAATATACTGTTCTGTTGAACCGTTGGCACAATTTTCTGTACATTATTATCTTAGTCTAATAGCTCTCTACTCAACATGTTTAATTTATGTCAATGATGACATGTCACGTGTATTGATTATTTTGGCTACAAATATCTCGAGAACCATTACTCGTAGCGATTTTTACCAAAAGACTTTTTTACGTAAAGAATGGCTGAAATGTATATGTCTCACCCACTTAGTGTAATTGTCCGTATCATGAAATGGATATCCACGTCGCGAACTGGCTAGGTTAGGTTAGGATAGGTTCGCGAACTGGTTGGTTTCAGTTCGCGAAGTGGATATCCATTTCCTGAAACGGACAATTACACTAAGTGGGTGCGACATATATATTTTTTACTCAGTAGTTTTATACAGGTATGGACAAAAAGTTATTAATCTTCAAGCCAGTTAAAAAATATCTAGGTGGCGTCCTCTGCAAATAGGAGTCCTATTGACATCAAAATTAAATTGATCATATCAAGAAATTCCCAGACACCAAATTTCATCCAAATATCAACGTTATTTCAGACATTATTTGGAAAATAATGTAATGTACTGGCGTCCGACATTTTTATCGATTCGACAAAACAATCCAAACCGCATCGTGTCAACGAGCTGTTACTGTATTAAATTAACCGAAATTCCCAATCTCGTCTTAATTACCTAATTTCTAATCAAATCCGTTTCTTTTATCTTCCCGTGACAAAAATGCACAAAACAGTAATTAAATCGCGTTCCGTAAACGTCGAATAAATCTGTGACCGTCCAAGGCGCCACCTGTTTTAATTAGAGAAAGAAACCCGGTACAATATGTCTGTGTTTTGTCTCGCTCGCCCTTATTTCTTCATACCGAAAACGGAATTCTTCAGTAGCAGCACTGTCTTTTTATTGTCGGCTTTTATTAAACCTAGAGGAAATTAGAAATCTGTCTCCAAATCCCTGGCGTGAAATATAAAGGATTTTTAATATCGTTTAAATGAAAGTAATAAAAGTAAATGTAAGGTATTGTAACATAAATACGATTAATTTTAGTGAAAGGTTGTGACCACCTAAAAAAGTTTCTGTGAACTTTTCAGTAAGTTTTATGAAGTAAGTCGGCTTACTTCAAATATTGCTTTATTTAAATAGAGAAAAAAATGTGGGTAGAATGTAGAATGAATGAGAAAGCAGGTTAATCACTGCGACCTTAAAGATCTATTGTGTTCCCTTTCCTTGAGCTAAAACTCATCACACAATGTATAAACCATCATGCATTTTTCTGTTGTAGGGGGGACAGGGTATTTCCCATCCTCCCCTGACAACAGATGTTCTTCCTCCGAAGGTATACACCCTTCCACGGTTGGAGTTTGGCCCTTCGTGCCCTTCACAGTCGAGGAGATTGCCTCAGGCTTAGGTACCCGTGAGGTGGAGGCTGGAGGATCTATCTCCATTTTCTGTAGCTCTTTAACTTGGTCTCTCCTTAAACCTGATACCGGTATTGTCCCGTATCTATAATAGAGAATATATTTCTCTTTCTCTATTGCCCCCTTGGATTTGAGGTCAATTCCTATTGAGAGGACCTTACCATGAGCCTCCTTCCTCGATTTGATGACTCGCCAACTCGATGTTTTTACGTTGGTGTTCTGAGCCTGGATAAGACTCAGCAGGTAGGTGGTGTCTTTTCCTTTGCTCCTCGGCAGAAAGACCGCGATGCCTTTTGGAATGTTTTCTCCATGAACTGCAACCACTCCTAGCCCATGTCAATTTTTAAGCTTTGGTGCGATTTACACCAACCAATCCACCGATTCTTGAGATACATAATCAATGAAAATCATGCCATGGTATTGAATATGGAAAATAAAATGAATATTTTCTTGAATTATAAAATCAAAAAGATGTACTAATATTTAACGATTGGTTCAAGTTAATTAAATTATAAAATGGTCACCATAGATGAATAAATTATGCATACCATTTTATGTTCTATATTAACTATTTTTTTTTTCATTTGTACATTTTTATATTATATTTCTTTTATTAAAAAGTGGAATCTAATTTAATTAAACATATCCGGTGAACAAAAGTAATCATAAAAAGTGTTGCTATTTTCAAATATTATTTTCTATTACCAAGAACAATTTAAATTTTAAGGGAACTACTTCCTGTATCATAAATTTCCATTAATGTTTTATAATACTTCAATATTACTTTTATAAATGTTATGTGAAATCAATAGAATAAAAATATAATTTCAGTTTTTAAATTTGAAAAAATTTTCCCTAAAATAACTATAGAAATACAAAATGAACTTTTTCATTACGTACACCAAAATTCTTGATTTAACTCTTGTTTGCACAACAACACAAGCAAAGCCGTAACGTAAATTTCCGTGTTATGTCTCAAGACATACGTATAGAATTTGTGTTTTTCGAAGTCCTTGTACAGAAGAAAGCTAATACATACTTTTTATTTCATATCATGTTAATAAAAAAACAATCAAATTTATCTATGCGATTTTATGTGTATAAACACAAAAGACAGGGTTTTCTACAATCATGACTTGAGCACAAGAACAAAACTTGCAGTGTACCGAGCAATAATAATCCCCAACATGTTATATGGAAGCGAAAACTGGGTGGCGTACCATCGACACATGAACGCATTAGACAAGTTGCAACAGAGACACCTTAGACAAATCTTAAGAAATAAATGGTTCCACCATGTCTCAAACGTATCGGTCTTTGAAAAAACTAGCTGCGAGAGCTTTGAAGTAATGATTACAGAATCCTGCTTAATGATCATCATGGGCTGGTCACGTATACAGAATGCAAGAAAACCGCCTACCAAAATATGTTCTTTACGGTGAACT